CAAACAAATTTAATACAAATAAATATTTTATTAAAAAATGGTTTTCTCCGTGCAGGTTTAATGGTGTGAAATGCCGTTAAGACTTTACGTAGGCGGTGGATTATTCCCGACGTGCTTTTAATATAATTAACTTTTTTTTTAGAAATTGTTTTATTCTACGGAAGTTTATCGAGATCGTTAATCAAGATCGCTAAGAGTCGCATGTACATTTGAATGTCTCGTGTGCCGGTGACTCGTTACTCTCCAAGTCGACGTCTCCGTATAACAGCTTTCCGTGAAACGAATCGTGAAAGATCGCGAAGCGAGCTTTTATGCCTGTTCCCAAGACCATTAAATGTTTATACATTTTCGCCAGCTGACGCACTTTCACCGTGAACGGTAAAATGATGGTTCGGAGGAAACATTATTATTTTGTAATGTATCTCGACTTGATATTTTTAACACATACTTTTTAAAATTGTATAAAGCTCCCTTTCACTCTGCACTCGTTTACAGAATGTTAAGATACAAAACAATAATAGTGAGTTTCTAGGGTGTATAAGCAATGTTGACATAATATTACAATATAACGATTATTTTTCACGTGACTTTTTATCTAATTAGTATATTTATATAGCAGAATGATTAAAAGTAATTTTATTCGTGTTTGAACTACTGTTTTGCCCTCGGTTATTGAAGCGAATTATGACAGAGTTATCACTACCTTCATCTTTAGTTATTGCATGGTTAAGTGCACCCTCGCCGTCGTCCTCGTGTCCGACTTGATTCGCGTGACGTTCTTGATTCCAAGGAATAATTTATACTTTCGCTATAGCCTCGCTTAGTTGACAAATAATAGTGATTTATAGTAACGATTTCCTTGCTTAACGTTAAGTGGAACGAATCAGCGATGCACAAATCGTGCGCTCTCCTAGATAAACCTTCGCAACTTCGCATGTGACGTTTTTTTCCATTATTACCCTTGAACAACGTGAATTGTTCTGGTTATTATGCCTTGCAAACATTAACTTTTTTTTCAATCAATTAGGTATATTGTACCATCGTAGTCAATGTCATTCCGATCGAGGGAAAATGTGGAGAAAAGTTATAAAATCACCACATTGCAATTTGCAATTAACGCGTTCTGTGAATCTCCGCGAGGCCATTTCGCTCTCGTCTACGGGGGAGACTCGTCAATTAATCTCGATCGCAATCTGCGACAGTCGCGTTTACCGCGAAATGAAAAACTATCCTCCCGGCGACGCGGTAGCGAGGCGGTGTTTAAGTACTGTCCGTTCCCCCAGCAATTACTGCGAAGTAATCTGCACCAGCGACCGTTTGTATCTTCGCGACGCATTCGCGAAAAGACCTTGTCGCGGCGTAACGCTGGCTTAATTACGAGCCGGGGACGCTTAGTGCGCCCAGGGCAGTCCGGTATCCGCGGTTAATCAAATACCGGCGCGGGCGAGGACGACGAGAGGGTGGCAAGTGACGACGGCAGGTTACGGTGGTGCGAGTACAGACATCGGCTGCTCTGATCCGAATACAAACGCGCGCGCGTTTGCTTAAGTAAACGAGTTTCTCCGGGCTGGTCGATCGGTCGAGCGAGCGTTCGTCGCGAATCCTACCGGGGGTTGGGGGGGGAAGGGGTCACTTCGGTGTTTGCGAGTTCAAGTTCCACTTTGGAAGCCCTCAGTAAACCGCAGGCCGCACGCCGTATTTCCCTTTGAGCCGCCTCTTCCTTCGCGTCCTTCCGCCACGCTTTTACCGCCGCCGTTCGATCCTATCCACCGCCTTCCGCCCATCCGGCCGGCTTCCGGCCACGGAAACGCCCGGGTCGCCGAAGACTCGCGACGAAATCCTTTTTATCTCGTTGGAACTTCGCGGTGTCTCGTAACTTCGTCGCGTACAGCGACGGGCGGAACGGTCGCGGCACTTTTTTTTGTAATGAGTTTAGGAACGTGCATTTGGATCGGGAGTTACATTCCCAAATCTTCTTCTCTCCGAGGAATATTTTACTCTGTGGCCGTACCGAAACCATTTTGAGAGCGTTTCCGATCTATTTCTCGGGTTCCTAAACTCGTTGAAAAAAAGTGTCGCGACCATTCTGTCCATCACTGTAGCCCGACGACGATTTTTCGGTGAACCTATAGAAGTGAGGGGATGCTGGAGCGTTCTGCACTTTTTGCCCCTAGAAAACTGTCAGTTCATAAAAACATTTGTGTACAGACCGTCAGTGTTTCACTATTCGGACTAAATCAGAGAACAGCACGGTATCATTGAAATTGAGTTTAGAAGCCTAACAAAAAATCGAATAAGTTATAGGCTATATAGGTTGGGTGACGAGGGAATAGATTTTGTTAGGTTTCTAAACTTAATTTCAACGATACCACGCTGTTCTCTGATTTAGTCCGATTAGTGAAATACCGTTGGTCTGTGTACAAAAGCCATACAATTGGTGTATTACACGAACGTTTTCACTGATTGACGGTTCTAGATGCAAAAGGTGCAAAAGGTGCAGAATCACTCCAGCACCTCCTTAACTGCTTTCTATTTTCATCTCCATCGTAATCTCAGGCGGAAGTTTTCGCGTCGCTACGCGGTTGCTTTCCGTTTCGAGCCGCACGGCGATGCGCGCGGCGACGTTTTAGAAGCTTTCCATCTCTGACCTCGCTGAAAGAGCCTCCGATAAACCACAACGGCCCGCCCCGGGGAGAATCTCGCCGCAATCTCTTACACGATATATGAAATTTCCCCGAAAGAGGATGGACACGAAACTTACGTAAATTGATAAAGCCGGCCGGCGATTCCATCCCGCGGCGCTATTGAATATACATTATTTAACCTCCCCCGAGCAATCAAATGCTAAAATGCCGATCACCGGGCACTTTACCGCGCAACCGCGTCGCCGTTTCGCTGACCCGGATTTCGATATGAGGTTTAAATATACAAACGCCGGCGGATCAATGAATCCCGCGATTTGGAAAAGAAGACGTCCTAATTATACATTCGCACACGTCTTTCGCAAGGCAGTTGGCGCGCTCGCCGCTTTCTCGTAGCGCGGCCAGAATGAATCCGA